GCATGGTGTACCAGTTGCTTGGACTAATTGTTTCCATGTGTCTTTGGTTTTCTTCATTCTTCTTTGCTCTGGATAAGGAGAGACCCATCGTTGCAGCTAGATGGCAGCTTTGCAAGCTTTAAGATCCTAGTCACTACTTGCCAAAGTAGGATGTGGAACAGTGTTTTTGTGTAGTATGTTATGCCAGTTGAGCTTGATGTCCCCTGCAACTGTGGTCCCGAGCCCACAGATCCAACTGTTTGCTCCCTCTGGGTAGCTGGCTGTGACCAAGAAGTGACCACAGCCTTGTCCCTTGTCAGCTCTACTATATACCTGGACATTCTTACAGAACATACAAATACACTTGTAGAAACATTGTCTGCCAACATGCATACATGGTCTTGGGCACACTCCCTCCTGCATAGACATAACTAATGTGAACATAAGTTTTAATGTTTATGAGGTCCCATATGTCTCTTTTGTCTTCTTCTATTTGTGCATTTGTGTTATGTTTGTTATCCTTTTTTTTTTTTTTTTTTTTAATTAGTATAGTTTTCTCCCTATATTTTCTTGCAGGAATTTTATGATTTTACTTTTAACACTTAGGTCTTTGATCCATATTGAATTAATTCTTGTGTACGGTGTGAGGTGTGGGTCCTGTTTCATTTTTCTGCAAGTGAATATTCAGTTTTGCCAGTACCACTAATTAAAGAGACTGTTTTTGGCCCAGTGAATGGACTTTGACCCCTTGTTGAAAATCAGTGTCTGTCGATGGCTGGGTTTAATTCTGAATTCTCAATTCCGTGCCATTGGCCTATGTGTCTATCATTGAACCAATATCAGGCTGTTTTGATTACAGAGGCTTTAAAATATGCTTTGATATTGAGGAATATGAGGCCTCCTGCTATGTTCTTTTTCTTCCGTATTGCTTTGGCTATTTGAAGTTTCTTTCCATTCCATGTGGAGTTTTCCATTTCAGTAAAGAATATTGTTGTGATTTGTATTGGTACTCATTGTACCTGTAGATTGCTTCAGATCGAGTTGATATTTTCACTATATTAAGTCTTCCAATCCATGAACATGGCATGTCTAACCATTTTTGAGGTCTCGGAAATGAAAAAGAGAAAGCAAAAGACCATTAAAGAGATAGGAAAGACCAAAATGGATGTCAGAAGAAACTCTGAAACTTGCCCTTGAACATAGAGTAGCTAGAGCAAAAAGAAGAAATGATGAAATATAAGAGATGAATGGAAGATTTCAAAGGGTGGCTCAGGAATACACAGTGAAGTGTTATAATGAAATGTGCAAAGACCTGGAGTTAGAAAACCAAAAAAGAAGATCATACTTGATATTTCTCAAGCTGAAAGAACTGAAGAAGAGATTCAAGCCTCTAGTTGAAGGATTCTATGAGCCTGTTGAACAACACAGGAAACATAAAAAGAAGGTAGAAGAAATACAGAGTCACAGTACCAAAAATAATCGGTAGACATTCAACCATTTCAGTAGCATGTGATCAAGAGCTGATGGTACTGAAGGAAGGAAGATGTCCAAGCTACTCTGTAGGCCTTGGTGTAAAACAAGGCTCCAGGAATTGACAGAATACCAATTGAGAAGTTTTAACAAACATGCAGTGGTAGAA